TTTGTTTTTTTTCTTAAGCTGTGAACATTATTAGTGGGTTTCTTTTCTGCAAATTCATCTTTTATATGATGTGGCTGCCAAATTGTATTAACATTTCCTAGGGACAGATAAAAGCTGTTTCAGAATCATGGAAGTGTTTTTGTGTGACTGTATCAATACACAGAATATATGGCATTTGTGCACATTGCATTCTATTTTATACCTGGAGCATAAAGGCAGCTCTGGTTTGTATGGCTGTGAATGACAAAGTACCTGTCATCACACACCTCATTTGGCTTGCCTGTAGGCAGTACCAGAGTGTGAGTCATGTATTGGATTTATTGATCAGCTGTATTCCTGCAATCTGGCAAGTGTTCTAATTTCATTATCCTTCCAGTGCAAATTAGAGCATGAAATATTTCTTAGACACTTAGTAGCCAGGAGCAGGCATGGGGAAAAAACCAGTAAGACACTGTTTTAGCTTGGAGAAATGTCTCAAGAAAGGACTTTAGTCACTGAAAATTGTCTTTTATATGACTTCTGACTGAGAGGAAATTTCTCATCCATCTTTTTTGGGGCCTAATGAATGCTCCAAGGTAGGATGGTGTTTATAGCAGGAGATGAGTTTGCTTTGGTAGAAGGAACTCTGTGGAGTCATCCTGTGTATTCGTGGCTTGTTTAGTTTCTTTGCATTCTTGACCTCCATGAATAGCCAATGCTTGCCCAAAAAAACACTGTCTGCAATTCTTTAATGGGCATGAAATTAGGTTTCCATATGTTCCTTGTCACTGGTAGTACTCTACTAGGGCACTGGTGCTGTTGATGGGCATCTCCCTCAGAGTGGAGACATTGGAGCTGTCTGTGGGGGACTTCACACAGGTGACTGGCAAAAACCTGAAAAGATGACTAAGGATTTTGTGAAGCTGCAGAACTTGAATTGTTTTGAAAAGCATCCAATATGATTTCCTAGCTGAAAGTGTGAGCTCCGTAGACAATATTTTCAATTTATTTCTTTACTCTTGCCCTCTGTTAGGGGAAGTTTTCTCTTCTCAGGTGGTCAGAAGAGTTCTCAAACAACAGTGAACAGATAACTGATTAAAGAATTAGTTTTCTTTGAGAAAGAGTGGCAAAGTATGTGGCATATAAAGGTAGCTGGAAATTATTTTGAGAACTGGTGACTTTATTTAAAAAAGAAGTTATCTCATACACTATAGATTAAAGAAATGCAGTTTGCAGCTGGAGATCACAGTGATGAAGCTTCTGGTAATCTTCAGTTCCTGTTTCATAACTGAAGATGAGCCAATGAGAAGGAGTAGCTAAACCCCAAGCACAGCAGTTTGACAAAGCACCTGGTGGAGCTGCAGTTTATAGAACAGACAATCCCAAGCGAGAACAAAGACACTGATGCTTCTGCTGAGTGTCTTAAAAGCCCCTAAGTGTGAAGGCACAGGAAATGCTAAGGCACGCTCATGCAGTCTGGGAAGCCTGGGGAGTTCAGGGAGGAGATGAGCCTATTTTTGTAGCAGAAGGCTGAATGATCTGACTGCACAGAAGAGGTAGATAAGGTGTGCCAAAGACAGCAGGGAAAGCATTGCCTGCAGCATCATGATGCTAGAAGATGTTGAAGATGTGTATGTCTAAGGCAGCCTGAGGACCCAAGTGCAGGAGTTGAATGTCCAGGTTTGGGAAAGCTCTAGCAGGAGTGCAGGTGACAACTGTTAAGCCTAAAATTTGCCCAAAGGGCCAGTAAATATTCCATACACAAATTCCCACCTGAGGCTTTACCTCTGCCTTGTATAAGAGTTAGGTTGGAACTACGTGCTAATGTGAGGGAGCACTGTTATCCAGCTGAGTGTATTGTGATTACTTCTCTCAATGCTAAAGGATTTATAATGGTCATTTCAGCATTGAGGTCTTCTGTAAAAATAATATCAGAATTACTGTTCAGCAGGTCTTTATTTTGGTAGTATTTCACAGTGATAAAATGACATATAAACCCCATTTTTAAACCAAGTTTAATCTCTTTTAAGACTTTACATCTTGTTCTCATACAAGCTTTACAGTAATGTAATTTACAGTGTGTGTTTTCAGTATTTATGAAAGAAAACTTTGAAATACTCTTCTGTTTCCTATTTAGAAAAAGCAGTTACATATACCACAGAGAAAACACTGATATCTCTACAGCACAACAAAGGAAATAATGTCATGCTTGTGTAATGGGACAGCTACTTGAGTCTTGAGTGACTTCTCAGAAGTTATTGACTCACTGGCTGAAATGTATCTTTAGGGATAGCATCAGTGTTTTAATGGAGGCAGTTTTTAATCTACCATGCTATTATACACAAAGGGCAAATTTATGCTTGGCATATTTCCCTTGGAAATGTTGGCACTAAACCAGGGAGCAGTTTTCCCTATTGCATTTAGCAACATGTTTCAGATTTGTAAGCCATGGAACCATTAAGATATGACTTCATTAATTAGAAAGTAATTGTGGTATTTCTTTCTAGAAATAAGAAAGGAGGGATTAACTCAGTTTAATCTCAGTGTGGCTGACAAAGGCAGTTAGCTACTTGCTTTAAATATGAGTTAGATCTGTAAAAAATAATGACTTAGTGGAGAACAGGATTGGCCCCATGGCATGTGCCCAGAAATTGGACAGTTGACTTGCTGAGTTCAGTGGTAATCTTGAACTGAAGGGCAACACGATGGAGCCCCCAGGGGCTGTTCCTGTAGGTGGTCTGTGCTTCAAATTCACATGCAAGCTTGGTATCTTTAAAAAAGATCATGAAAGAGAATATTAAGCTGTATCCAGCTTCAGTCCTCTTTGTTAATGCCAACTCTTGCTTTGGGGCAACTGCATAAAGCAGCAACAGGAAGAAACTGAAGCATAATGGTTGAGTACTTGTCAGTATTTGCTGTCACCAGTAATTATTATTAGCAAATCCAACTTAGCATACTGGATATTGACAAAAGCCAGCAAAGGAGCTGGAGCTCTTTAAGATATTCTTCTTCCACAGCTGGCAATTCCCATCCTGTTAGCTGGTAGCCAGCACACTCTCCATCCTAATTCATTGCAAAGAAAAATCAGTTGGCTGAATTTGTTTGTGGAATACTTCACTACTGTCAACTGATGGTGTCATGAAGGCTTCCTGGGATTTTACCAGTGGATTTGGAAGTATTTGAAAAATTACAAGTAAAGCAAGGACCTGTTATTATTCAGTGTCTTTCACTTTGGGTAAAACTTTAGTCCTGCTTGGGTCTGCCACTGAAGGCCTGTGCATGTTCTGCCAAAGTCTTGTTTTTCTGGTGCAGAAAACCCTAAGCTTTAAGGCAAATAAAACATATTTTTAATGAAGGATAAGCCATACTGGGATACTGTAAAGAGATTTATGATCTCTCTTGGCATATTCTCTTTTAGTGGATAGGGAGGGTCCTGTAGCCACGATTGCCTGCCTTGCTATAGAGAGTGACAAAAAAAGAGGAACAGAAGGGTTAAAGCTGAGAAAAGGCAGCAGGAGGGACGAGGGGGGCTCCCTGGGGGGAAGTGGAGAGGAAGCGAGATCTGCTGTGGCTGGGCGTTTGCTTTTACTTTTTGTTGGTAGCAAGGCTATGATCTGTGTAAGGTCCACTGAAGATATTTCTTTTTTTTTTTTTTTTTGGTATGTCTTACCATATTCCCAAGATCTGTAAAAAGGGAAAAGAATCATGTTGTTTGCTTTATGTGTGTCATGCTTCCCAGCCTGTGATCCATGTGGTCCCAGCCTTAGCCCCACATTTTGGTGGCTGCTGCAGGAGAGGTGGCTGCTGTGTCCCTGACACTGCTGTCCACCTGCACCAGCCCTCCCTGTGGGGTGAGGGCTGCTCCCTGTGAAGAGTTGGGATCTCAGGCTGACCATGAAAGGTTTTCTCTGCATCTTTTCTTACCATGAAAGGTTTTCTCTGCATCTTTTCTTAAGGGGACCATACCTTTGATCTGGGGCTTTCCTGCCTGGACTGGGAGTTCCCACCCAAGATGCAGCAAGGCTGAGAGACAGCCACCAAGTCCTCTCCATCTTTCAAGCTGTGCTCCCTTATGCAATCATCCCAGCCATCCTCCTTCGTGGCCCATCACCCCAGCCTCTTGCTTCTGGTGCCTTCTTCCCTCTCCCAAGCCCCTGCACCCATTTCACCTTTTCAGCTGCTTCCTAAAGGCTGCTGGGAAACAAGGAGATCTGTCAGGGCTGTCTTTGTCTCCTTATGCTGTTGGGCATAACATGCATTTACGTGCTACTGGCAGGGAAGGTACAGGCAGTGCAGGAGGGTCCACAGAGATGATAACTTGATGCTGTGGGAGCTGAGAATCTTGTTCTCTGGTGGATGGTTTGCACCTGTCTGTTGTTGAACAGAAGGATGCTGGGAACACTCCTTTTTTTTTTTTTTCCCATCTTCCAGTTCCTTTTCAGAAGCCTGAAGTTCAACATTGTATATAATGCAAAATATTCTCATGATTTATTCATATAGGGGAGCATTCCTTATTACTGTCTTTGTTTAATGAAGGATTTAATGAAACCAATTCTTTCTTTTTTCTTCCATTCTGCCTAGTCAGCCTTCTTTTAAAAAAGGCAAAAGCTAAGCTGTTAGGTAGATACTTTAGTAGAGAAACTTTGCTCTGATGGAATTGATTAAAAACCCAATTTTTTTATTAAGCTCTGAATAAAAAACTTGTGAGGTTGTCCATAACCTTCTACACTACAGAGTGATAATCTAATCTAGGATGTTATGTGTGTATATGTGTCTTACATATATAAATACATATATAAAGCCCTGAAATGCAGCTGCACAAAATACAGCAACTGAAGTAAAACTGAGATCCCCGAAGATGTAAACTTGTGCTAAGAACTTACCACAAAGTTCTTGCTAATATATTTACTGATGACAAAGTCTGATCTCTCAGTCTGTCTCTGAAATTAATTAACTGAATGTGTATCAACTTTCCTGTAATGTGCATTGAATTTGATTTGTTCTGGTTTTATTTTTTCTAGGGCTGCCAGAATGAGTGCACAGGTGGAGGATACTCAGGAGAAACAGGAAAGGAAGTGACTGAATCTTTCAAGGTATGTCTAAATGGTCTTCAGAAGAAAGTTTTTCCATTGGTCCTGAAATTGCAGAGCTAGGGATTGCAGGACTCCAAAGCACTGCAACTCTGGAACATTATCAGCACTCCACAACAAACAGGGCTATGATAGTAAGGAATGCTGAGCAGCTGCCAGGAACTGATGTGAAATTACATCCCTCTCTTTTTATTTTAATCTTTTGCTTAGAAATGAGCTCAGTTAAGATACCATTCTTTTCTTCTGTCTCCTTCCTGAATGCAACGCTAGTAACCAAGTGCTCATTTTAAAAACTGTATGGATACAGATGTCAGTTTCCAGTTTTCTGTTGAAAGTGCAGAGCCTGTCAGCATGTGCTCCTTTGAATTCTACATCTGTCCTAATTTCCTTTTTTCCTGTCTTTGTTACGTCTTTTGCCTTCATTCTTTGTCACACATCTGTAATTATTTTTCTCTCTTATTCCCTGATTTACAGTCTTTAAAAAATCTTATCTATATTTTGCAGAAATATGAAAGTAATACTCAGAAAAACTCATGTTTTTTCAGCAGTTCCGTTCCTGTTATTTCTGACTATTGTCAGTAGTACATGAGATGAAATTATAATGATATGCTTTGTAAGTGTCATGTTCTTCCTGATTTTTTTGGGCAGTGCCACTGCTGTGAAGTCTTCTGAATTATGCTAAAGTAATTATTTCCCCTTCAGTTGTCAGGCTTTAAACAGATATGAAAAATTAATGCTGCAATAAATATATTGGACTCTTTGATAAGGTTTATTCTGATACTGGTCTCATTGAAAACAGCGAAGAATTCTTGAGAGTCCATGACTACAGAACTTTGCTGTGTAGCAATATTTCATTTAATTTCTATTTCCTCATTCTTAGCCCTTCCCAGTTCTTCTCTTCCTTATTTCTTTGTGTTGTGTCTCTCTGGCAATTCTCCCCAAGGAGGAAAATTCAGGATGACTTTTCAGCCAGAAGGTCTGATTTGAAAAATGTTGACAAAAACAGGCATGCAGCCAGTTTTGAAACCACAAGTCTGGAGTGCAAGGGTTGTTTTGTGAATCACCTTCAATAAATAGATAGATCTCAGTAGATTAATTCAGCAGAGTGTCATGGAGTATTTGCAAACAAGAATTGCTTTACAAGAGAGGACTCTTGTGTAACCAAACTGAAATGTGTCTTTCACTCTCCGAGGCAGTCCTGAAGGCAGACAGAGTGACAACAAACTCTGGTAGCGTTTGGGTCACAGGTGAGCTTGGCATAAACTAAAGCAGACTTAAGGCAGATTTAATTATACCAGCAGTCAAGCAAGTACCTTACCAAAGCTCCAAATACTGGGTGGCACAAAGTTGGATTTACTCCAGGTTCCTTTCCATTGATATTTGTGTGTCAGCCAGAATGGCAAATCATTGTAGTGGAGGGGCTGGGTGAGGGTAAAAATACATTAGCAGGTGGGACAGATGGTCATAAAGGGAATAATGCTAGGAAAAAGCAGCTGGCTCAGGCTGAAGCCTAATTTGTAAGACTTCATTCCTGCCTTATGGCTCTGTTTCTGAAGATTAGCTGCAGTCACCAGAGGGATAGAGATTTCTAGAAAATACTGTACCATGGGAAGTGTGTGTATGAAAGTTAAGGTGGGATTATAGGTCCTGATTGTACTATCATGCATTATAATAATAATTTTCAGCCTCTTTAACTTCAGAGTAAAATTAAGAAGGTAAAGCTTCATAGATGAAGAAAAAAGCAGCAGCAGAAATGAAAATAAAATAGCCTGGATTCATTCTAGGGAACTTTGTAAGCATTTTTGTGGAAGACAGTTACGGTTACAGTTTCAGAAACTATAGCTAATAATATTTCAAAGGCATCAAGTTGACCCATGGGGCTGACTGTGCTGAAGAAAGCTGCAATTTTGTGCCAGTGACCTAAGCAATCCAAGATTGTCGGAATGTAGAAAACAGGGTATGGTTTTGGTTAAAGCTTACATAAAACATATTGTTTACAGTGGGTCATGCCCAACATTTGAATGCCAGATTAGGCCTCTGAAGACATTTCTCTTTAGAATGCAGTGCTGTGCTTTTTAGGTGGTGTGAGCCGCTTTGAATTTTACTGCAGTTTCTGTCTGACTTTGAAAGGTGGAGTTAGAAAGTCCCTGTACACTGGGAGGGAATGCATGAATGTTTCCTACAATTTCTGGCAAGCAGTGAACCCTTCTGCTAGCTGTTCTCTATTCTCCTGGATTTCTTTAAAAGCAACAGGTCAGAATTGACATTTCCTTCATTCTGACAGCTACTGAACTACCTTAATTTGACTCAATTCTGCAGTTAAAAATCTCATCTTGGCAGTCTGATTTACAAGGCATTTAATGTATGGCATTTAGAGTTGCCACGTGAGCAGTGATCTTGGAACAGCTAAGAACCATTGAAGGAAATAATGATTATGCTACAGTTTCTTGTATTGTAGAATGCGCCAGATCTCCAGGATTTATCTACCAGGCTCCTTCTGCATGAGTGAAATCTTCTCTCCCTCAAATGTATGCGCTTATAAATATATTTGTTTGTTTAACTAGCAGATGGTGATTTTTGACTGCACCTAAGCTGTAGTTTTTGTCTATTGACAAAACATAGAGCACTGGATCTCCGTGAGGAGGATATTGCACCAGTAATGGAGAGTACAGTCATCCTTTGTACCACTAAGTATATTTTTGGGAAGTTGAATCAAGAAATGCATGTATCTGGTTTTGTTCTTATACTTGCATCCAGTAATACCACAAAATAGCACACAATAATGTCTAAGGCACTTAATTTTTGTGCCTGAAAATCTGGTAGTTCCTTTAATGCATTCATTCTGCTTATTGTGCTGTCACAAGACAGAATGAATATTGTTTGGAGAATGTAGCAGTCTGTTTCCATATGTAACTCAGATTTGGTTTCTTTTAATGTGTGAATTAGGTCTGACTTGGAATTCCTAACACTTGGTGTTAAGAAACTAAAGGCATCTGTGGTGCCATTTATTGCTCTCGTACCCAGAAAGATGATTTGATGTAGCCTTTTGTCTTGGAATTGTCTTTGTTTTCCCTTTGAGACTGATACATGGAGCACTTTAAAAAGATACTACTACTCCTGTAATGTTTCTTTGAGTTTCAGTGCTCTGAAGCTCTGGAAAAGTTGGTATCATAATGGTGCAAATTTCAGTTCTTTTGTTTTACTTTTTAACAGCCTATTTAGTGTGCCAAAGTGGTGTAACTTTTAAGGGAATTTCTAGGGAATAGTGGCTAGTTTGCTGCACTAAAGCAGAATGGAATGGAGTAGCTGTAGCTTACAAGTGGATCTGGATTGAGCTGCTTATGTGAAGACCTGTGGTGGCAGAATGAGAAACGTTTAACTGAGGCTTCTGTGTCTCAGTGCCTGCTTGTGCTGCTCTGAATATCTGAGTGCTCCCACAGAGTTTTCTGCAGACAGACCCAGCCTTCCAGGCTCTGAGCCAAGGGGATGTGAGCCCGTGGCTGACTGGAAGCTGCATGGGCAGGTTAGTGCAGTGCTGTGCTCCAACTGGTGATCCCTGTGGGCATCTTGGACTTGCTAGATGAAGTACAGTTTTCTGCTAATATGCTTGCATGGCTTCCAGTTCAAAGGCATCTCACCTCTAGCTAGGTGAGGTGCTATTGGATATATTGAATTTTCCATAATGATGTATGGTTTGTTATTTGTTTGTTGTGTTGCTGTAATGTTTTAAAGCCCAAGCTGTGAATTAGCTGACACCGTGCTAAGAATTGTACAAATATGAGCATAAAGATTGTTTCCACTCTGCATATATAAAACCCCCAAAAAAACTCAACCAAATGACAATTCTTCCACAGAATCTAAAGCTGTAGTGTATTTTACACTAGAAGGAACTGAAATTCTTTTTCCAGTGCGGGTTCAAATTTCCATTTGTGATTCAAATTGAGAGACTGCCAGTAGAAGTTTTACTTCACTGTGCACCGTAATCATTTTTGTACTAAGTGGGCCTATGATTTGTGGTAAATACAGTGGGATTATAGGATTCCTTACTCTGGGAACTGGGAGAGAGAACAATCCATTTTGAGAAAATGGATTGCAACAAACAGTTTTCTGATCCTGGGCATTTTTTTTTTTTTAAGGAAAGATGAGAATTATTTTTTATCAAACTTTCTTGTTTCCCATCCAATGCAAAGTTCAAAGTATATAAAATACAGAGTAGTATAATTTTTGAAACACTGTCTTAAAGTCTAATCTAATTGACTTTAGCACATTAGCGTGACAGGGTTGATGTTCCACTTCTTGAAGAGTTTAGGCAGTACTGAGCAGCTTTCCTCTGCTTCCATTTTATAGGAGCAATAGGTGAAGTTACTGACATGCTCAGAGCATATGGATCAAGGGAACACTGAAGTGTTTTTGGAATGAGGAAATGCACAAGTATAGTTACCGTATTACCTACAAGGCTAATAAACATAAAGCGATTTATATGATTTATATGTTTTCAAATATATATTATTTCCTCCCCAGCTTGTCCTCAATTTTTCATTTTCTAATGACATCAGTAAATTATTTACCTGCCAAAGCATATGTGCACTCAGTGAGGCTTTTTGTCATATTGCAGATACTGACTCTTCAGGGGTTTTGCATGTTAGGTGTGGATATTGGAAGAACACCCTGCATTGCCATTTTAAATGCTATATTAAACTCCATTTTAAACTTTGCTTGATGAGCAAAGTTTCCTTTATATTAAATTGTACGTGGAAAGATTTATTATAGGAATTTACTTATATCTTGATGCTGTGATGAGCAGTAGCTCCCCAGAATGTGTGCATAGAAAATCTGCTCTTGTATAAACTGTCTCGAAGCAGTAGAAGGGAAAGAAGCAATTCAATATGTGTGTGTGGAAGGGGATACAATAAGGATCTCCAGATATTTTGTGTCTTAGAATCTTGGCCATCCAGTCCATTCTCCCACTGAAAGTGGGGCTCTCATCAGCACTAGAGCAGGCC